AATAATTTCAGTTTTCTGTAAAAGGAACATCATTTTACTAGAAATCCCATGAAGAACCATTAGTAGCCAAAATCACAAAGATAAGCTGATTTTTTTTTAACCCTTAGCAGGGCTGCAGCGGGTGCCTTCTCCGCCTCTGGGTTCCGAGGGTGGGAGCCACCCCGTCCCAGCCCCTCTCTCGTCCTGTGAAGCGGGTAGAGGCACGCAGCACGCAGCTCCCAAACATAGAGGGAAGAAGGAACATATGAACGTGTCGCGCTGCTCCCTAAGCCACATCCGCGGAACAGATGGCTGCCATCAGGGGCGGCACCAAGGAGTAGCAAGGGCAGAGCCCCATCAGTCGGTCACAGGGACAGTGACAGCTCGCACGCAGCAAGCGGGCTGGGGTGGGAGGAAGGAGCTGCAACAGGCTGGGAAGGCAAGCGGAGGAGACAGAAGGCGCGGGAGGTGAGGGCCCGCTCTCTGCTCTGCCTGCCCGGCCCAGAAGCTGCTGGCCCATCTGCCTCACTTCTCCATCCCATCCTCTTCTGGGCAACTGCGTCTAGGCCTCCAGCTCCACACACAGCCTGTTCACTGACCTGGAAGTGGTAGACGCCATCACCCCAGTCCAACCTGGGCTTCTCAGTGCTCCCCCTCCTCGGCTCTAGGTACTGTTCGAAGAGGCATCCCTTGGTTCTCGCGTGACTGCGCACTGTAGAGTGTGTGTCGCGTGGCTGTGGGGCTCTCCTTCCTGAGTTTCTTGAACCTGCATCTGCATGGGTCTGCAGGAGGTGATGGGGGGTCTCCCCCCCCCCGACGCCAGCAGAACCTCCCCATCGCACCAGCCTGGCACAGTCTCCACTGGTGCACCTTGCCAGCACCAGGAGTGTGTTCTAGTGTCAGCTGTCACCACTCACCCTGCCTTTTCTCTCTTTATTTTAGTTTTGTATTTTAGGGAAGGGTCTACAGGGTGTTCAGGGTCTCACTACTAGATCAGACTTGTAGCATCTGCCTGTTTACAGCCTCCCAAGAGCTGGGATTACAGGCGCGCCACCACGTCCAGCCTCACCCTGCCTTTTCTTTCCTGAAACATGAGGATAAGTGGCACTGCCACAGGACGTTTCTCTTGCATATTTAAGCTACATGACAGATAAGGAACAAAAAATCTGTCTGGTCATACCACCAACTATGCCACACATCACCCTATACTCCTGGTGTGCTGAGACACCAGGATACAGGGCCCTGGGCCTAGGAGATGGCCCAGCCGACGGCACTGTTCTGTGACAATACTGAGAAACGCCCTGTTCACCTCGTGGGCACTCGTGACGTCCTACAGAAAGGAAACCTACTTGCGCTGAGCTTTCTCAGTTCATTTGCTTCTGAAAGCTGTTCCTAGCACTACCCCTGCACCTCAGCTTATCCTAGAGGAAACCGTTTTCCTTCCTGAACTCAACAGTGCGTGCAGCTGCTGGGCAGGTAGCAACCAGCACTGAGTGTAGCTAGAAGCGGGGCAGTGCTTTTTATCCGGGTTAGGAGAGAAACATATAGGCCCGGGCCACACAGGGCAGTGCAGTGCGCCAGCAGCAGCCCTTCCTTTCTAGGGTGGTCCTGAGGGACAGCACTCTCCTGCAAGGGGACTGAGCTGTCTGCCAATGAGAGTCTCAGTCTACAGTCTAACTCCAGCGCGGGCTGATGGGCTGGCTGGCTGATCCAGGGCCCAGAGAGAAGGACAATGGAAGGCTGCTGGCGAGAGGTCTAGGAACGAAGCCTGTGCTGGCGCTCAGAAGACAAGCAAGTGTGTGTCTCCCTTAAATGCCTCTCTCTGAAAGGCAGGCCCTGAGGACAAAAGGCGACCTGCTCCTGAGAGGTCAGGGGCTCCTCCCCGCATGGAACTCAGCGCTTGCTCAGCTCCTTCACACCTAAGGGACCCTGGTGGCAGGACCGGGGCAGTGAATCACTGCGGAAATACAGACTTCCGCAGTGTCTGTATTGGTGAGCCAGGGGCCAATGTGACCTTGGCCAGGTATATTAGCAGTTCCCCAGCCAAGGTCACATTTGTCCCTGGCTCACCAAGCACACAGAGATACACACGTCCCAGATGCGAAGCTGCCTTCCCTGCCTGAGGTGCTGGGGCCATGCCGTCGTTGGGGACTTCCAGAATGCTGCCTCCATCTCCATGGTATCAAGACATGACGTGACCCACGGGGGGTGGCTGCTGGTGAGGGTGTGGGATAGACCCTCAGTGGGACTCAGTGGCCCTCCCCAGGTGGCCCACAGGGCACTGGCTTGGTCGCACATTTGGCCACCCCATGGGGCTGCCATGACACACTCAGCCGAGAGACAGTGTGTGCTTAGGCGGGGAGCGGGGGCTGGTGTCTAGGATGCACAGCCTGTCCGGATCTAGTGTGGTGTCCCAATAAAGGGCACTAACATCTTGTAAAGGAAGACTGTGCACCTTGCTAGGGAACTGTGCTCCCCAGCAAGGACGGTGGTGGAGAAAGGAAGGGGGACACTACTGTCACCAGCTTGACTTCCTGAGCTGTCACTCTAGTGAGAATGGCTACAGCTCCATAACACACTGCTGCTATCTTCCTATAAGCTCCAGCAAAAGCCTTGAGTTGAGCTCACATTTTAGATTCTGGGTGGGTCGAACTGGACCCACCTCTCCTTGCAATGCCCTGGCAGCTGGCAGGGTCCCCACCCCGGAGAGGCACAGGATTTTAAACCCTCAAATGAAGCCACGGCTCAGACTGGCAGCCTCACCACAGAAGCTTCACCTTGCCACCCTGGCTCGCGTGGGGTCCGCTCCGCTGCACATCATGCCCTGGTGGGCTGCCTCCGTGGGTGCCCACGTTCCTGGCTACCAGCTGAGCTTAGGC